ACAAACAGACAGATAAACAGACAAATATACAGCGAATAGTTACACATTTATTAAAATATGTATTTCCCTCATCGCCTTCTTGCCATGCACAAGTTTTTGGAAATAATCACTTTTTTGGAAGGAATCTTATGTCATGGCTTACTACTTTCTCATTGATATACCAAAAATAGGAAACTTTCAAAGGAAAGAAGGCTCTCTGAAAAGCACCAGCAGATTATATGCCAATGGGTATCTGGTAATAAATATAAGTGAAACTGTAGATAAAAATAACATTGAAGCATGAAAACCTGTTCGTATATACTTTACTTCAATTATAAATAATAGATTGCCAGCATATTATCTGTCTAGATTGAGACATTAAAATAATCAAACAGAGAGGACATATATAATAACTTCTGTAATCTAGAAGTTAGTCAGAAAACAAAACCTCCATTTTACTTAAAGATCAATATACCCCCAGATCCAAAAATCAAAAATCAAGAAATTTGTAAATTCAATTTTGGTATAAGAATAGAGACAATTGCGGGATTTTTCAGGAGAAACAATGTGGAAGTCGCATTCAGGCTACATGCCAGGTTATCTGTTTTCCTTTTAAATGCCAGAGATAAAGATGAAAGACGGAGAAATCTGAAGTTTATAAGCTTGTGTCCAGAGTGTAATAGTGTCCATGTGGGACAATGTGGCTGAAATTTCTCAAAACGGTTTACTGAACATGAGGTCATTCAGACTAGGTAAAAATGATTCGACGTTTTCAGAGCATTCCTTGGAATGCAACCACAAGTTCCCCAATCTAAAGGGATTTTTGCACTATGCAAGCAAGTGTTGGAAACTCAATTATTTGAAATCCTTGGGAACTCATGAGCATAAGCATTGCGGATGTAACTTGCTAAATCATCAAATCCATCTAGTTTACTCACCAGTTTTTGGAATTAGCTTACCAAAATTGTCACAGGTAAACAAAGTTCAGGTAGTCGATTGAGTTATTATCTACAGCGGTGTTTAGATATATAAGAGGGCTCATATTATCAATTATTTTCAGTTTATTGTATTCGTTTGAAAATGTTCTTATAGGAGGAAACGTTTGTTACAAACATAGACATTTTTATTTTTCATGACGATCTCCTACCCCGTAGTAACGGCAACATCCATAAATTTATTAATATCGACAGTGTTAATGAAAAATGCGAGTTAAAATGCATATAATTCATCTCCTTACAAATCATGAATGTTAACACAATCTTACAGAAATATTACATCACGACCATATGTCGTAGTACCAATATACAAATTGCAATACTTCTAAAACTTGTAGAATAAAAGATATTGTCTTCAAAAACAGCTTCTTTTGATTATGCTTTTCAGAAATAATGTAAATTGAACGTCAATGTTTTCAGGTGAACACATGATTTTTATTTATAACAGATTCACATTTCAATTCATATGATGAAATTTCGTAAGAAAAAATGAAATATAAGTGTATACTTCTCCGGGAAGGAAGGTTTGGATTTGTAGTTCATATTTTTGAAAAAAAATGTGGGAATCTCTTCCAAAAATTAGTCTTTCCTAAATATACACCTTCCAATTCAAACAAGATTCCTATCGCTGGGATTGTATTAAATGTGTACGACGACATGATTAGATTGAACTCATTCGTGACAAAGTCGTAATTTTATGAAACTAATATATATTATTTGTGAAATTATAAAACAACAATAAGAATTAATAGGAGCTCCGGAGCGACTTCATTGATTCCAGTGACGCATTTGCCTTTTTCAGTTGCAGGAAAACCTGGAAAAACCTTCAGCACTACATCATCTGAAGATCTTGTTCTGCCAATGTCCTCTCTCTCATAAAACAAAATGTAGGATATCTCTAGAAGCTCCAATAAATTCAATACATCGCCAGAACACTTCATGACACGACTATCGTCAAACTTAAACCAGTCCGTTTCGTCTTTGACCAAGGCGTAATAATAACCAAATTCAACGCCAGAACACAGTGAACAATGACTGCATGAATAATATAATAGTGGTCTGCTAGATTGAAGTGTTCATCTATTTCGAACCTTTGAAAGAGTTTGGTGCTTCCGTCAGAGGTTGAGTCTTGTTTGACTGGTACCTCAGATATACTTGTTTCCTTATAACAGTCAGTTTGCTTGGCGTTCTAGAAATTTTTCTTCATGAACAACACTTGTAAAATGCTATTCATGTAGCAAGTATTTCCTGAATTATCTAATCCAATTTTCTTCTCAAAATTCTCAGGACAACTCTCTACTGAATGAATTAAGTTCTTATTCTTATAATTTTATTCGAATTTGGTACTGAACAGGCGATATCGAAAAGAATATTGCATTTCTGGGAATTCGGAAAAGTGCTTGTTTCGGATTCATTTCATGCTCAACTTTTGGTATTTCTCATAATGGTTCAATTGTTACTAAAGTGTGTGATTTATATGAAGTGTAATAGCCCAAAATTTCACGCTGTCCCAAAAATACATAAAGAAAATTTAGCAATTAGACCTATAATATCATCTGTAGGCAATCTCACAGAGGAACTAGCCTTTTATTTAACCCATATTTTAACAATATCATATGATGCGAATAATGAATATTATATCAAAGGCTCTTTTGAAGTATTTAATTTATTTAATAAAATGAAACTCCCCGAGGGATATGTCATAGCAAGTTTAGATGTTGTATCTTTGTTTAGGAATGTATATTTAGAGTCATGTTTAAGAGCCGTGGATAGAAGTTGGAACCGTATCAGCCAGGATTGCTCATTCAGTAAGGAAAATTTTCTTGAATCCATAAGTTTCTTATTTAATAATACATTCTCCACATTTAATATTCAATTTTACAAACAAACCTTTGGTACTCCAATGGGTGCAAAAATAAGCCCAAGTTTAGCTATATACGTGATGGACGATTTACTAGACATTGTTTCAAAAGTGTTCCTTTCTTGGATACCAAATTTCATCGAACAACTGATAATACTATCCTAATTGAGTACTCTTTTAAGTTAGTCCAAGCTTTCGGAAAATTTTATTTCCATCATCAGGGAAACTACAATAATATAAGTTGTACAGTAAAATAAAAAATATTACATGCTCATGACTTTCATCTTATGTGAGGATGGTTACATCGATGTTGAAGAAAAACTGATGAGACATTGATGAAGATGAAAATTGATTTACAATTCTGAATGATTGAAAATTTATTTGTTGAAATATATTTCGTTCAGACCGTCGTTGACACCGTGTGTGCAAGATTTAAATGATCGAGTTCCGGGTTAGAATTTTGAAATTAAACAGACTGACTACTGACATGTGGTAGAAGGTCTTAAATGTCACTAGGAGTACCAACTGTAGTTTACAATGTAAAATTAGTTCTGTTTGAAATTACTATGATTGGTTTGAAATTGAGATCTGAATTATAGAATGGAATTGTTCAAATTGATATTATTATTGTGAAAGTTCTTGACTAGCGTCAATAAGTAGTAATAAATTTCACTTAGATGATTAATGTCTGTTCTTTTGTTCATACAATTGTTGTTCTCAAAAATGTAGGACATTTCTAGAAAGGACCTCTCAACTGAGATTGATAACACTTTTATTGAGTTATAATCCATATGTTGGTCAAACTTATTCGCATGGTCTGCTAAAGAACATCTTTCTGTGTGAAATCTACAGTCACTTTTGTGCGAAGTGATTCTAGTACTTAATGATCGCGAAGTTTGACCAACATATATCTTATCACATGATTGCACGGAATACTATGAACAATGTTGCTTATATATCTATAATCTCTGAAATATTTAATATCTCTCAAAAATTCAGAAGCAAAAGAACTAAAGGCATCTAACTTATCGACGACCATTGAATTGCCCTCTTTCAGTTCAATTGCAGTTTTCTCAGAGCTTTCTTCTTTTCAGCGATCATGAAGTTCAATTCTTGCAATATGAAATGCCGGTTATGGTGATAGCTCTCAGTACACCAATCACCTGCTGAGGTCAGGAGATTTCACCATATAGATATTTACTTGAAACTTGGGAGTGAAGGAGTGAACTGCTTTCATGAAATGGTAGCTGTGAGCATTAAGCCGCCGTCGCCTTCAAAAGCTTCAGGTTTCAATAGAAAAACTACATTAGCATAGGTATTTGAGATTATGTACTAACAAGTTTGGAGTAAACTAGCCAAATTTTCTCACTGTTATTTAATCGATAGAAAGCGCGCCTTTCAGTAAATTCTTTCATGTACGAACTGTCACCACTTGCATTATAACGTCACTGCCCTAGTGAAGATTGATGACTCTCTCTTAGCCCAACATTGAGGAGACGAGTTATTCTCTCTGATGACAACCATGTCTCCTTGTTGAACCGTGCAACTTACTGATTCGATTTGCCATTTGTACTGGGCAGGTATTCCCTGGATCACTTGGTCCAAAAATGTTAGACTATCTGGGTTAGATTGAAATACATTTTGATACGACTTCATTTTTCGTATCAAAAATCAGTCTGTGGTGATACTATGAGAAAATGTCCCGGCGTGAGCGCGTTTAGGTCCATGGGAACATCGAGAAAGTGTGTCAGTGGGCGGGAATTTAGACACGCATCCGTCATCAAAAATTGTTTTTTCACTACCCAAAAAAAATATTCGTAAATGTTATTCAATGAATTTTATAGCCGCAACCCAAACCTACAAAATTAGGTCCCTGAGGAGGAATAAAATGGCTTTCAATCACATTTTGTACGGAATATTCAGAAAATTCGCTCTAAATTTTTGTTTCGCAATGATTTGTAAAGTTCCGGCAGTTTTTCGTGTCCCTCAACAAAATTCATACCGTTATCTGAATAGATATCATGAACGTATTCTCTCCTTGCGATGAATCTTCTGAAATATTTCATGAATACTTGGGAGATATTATGGCAGAATGTTTTTAATTGATTTCTAGGCTTGCCTTACTTAGCCGCCCCCTACTCAAATTATACCACCTTCACTTGAAAATGGGTTCAGCGAAATCAGTTTTCTCGCTTCATGTAACGGATCCTCATTTTTTCAACGCTCTCATCTCTTTCTGGAAGCATTGCCTCTATACTAGTGTGATAAGACTGGATGTCAAGCCTCATCAATCTCAGCCGATGAAAGATATGCCCCTAGCCGCGTGGCATGCTGTGATTTATAATACTAATTACACATTTTCAATTGTTATCATGGATAGGGTTATGAAGTTCCATAAAATAACGAATCTGTCCATTCATAGTTTGCGTTTTATAATTTTTGAAGAACCGTTAACAATATGCCGATAACCTCCTTAGTTTTGGAAAACTAGAATACTTTTGAATGAAATTCAACGTGCACTGTACGAAAATTTTTTTTTCACCGTCTTCCGATATGGAATCCCCAATTCGTCATCAAAATATTACTTCTTTGACCAGAAACTTTTTTCAATTCAGGCTACTAAGAGCCAAGTCACCATATGAAAACTATAGTAATTTGTGGAATCAGAATCTCTGGATATGATATCAGCAGGATTTTTCCCTAAAGTAACAAACGACCAGTTGCTGATTTGTATGTGGTCTTCAATCTCAGAAATTCAATTGACAACGAAGGTCATTCATTGGGAAGGTTCCTTCGAGAGCCATGTCAACGTGATCCCAGAATCAGTTCAGAACTGAACTGTGCTAAAGTGTATGTTCAGAGCCTGCCTACCTTTTTTTACCAAACTATCGATTTGTTACATAAAAGTCGAATATAATGGTGACCATATGCGACCGTTAATCGAATTTACACTGCAGCACCGTACGCAGCTTCAGAAACATCCGAAAAACATGATTTTTGCATACTACTTGCATGAAACAGTCTGACATACACCAACACTTCACGAGAAATACGGACAAGGTAAGAACATGACGTTATCATTTGACCAGATCAATAATGAATTCTGTTGATTATAATCTTTTCAACTCTCTGCCAAATAACTTTAAAGAGCTTAGTATCACCAAATTCAAAAGAGCCATCAAGGAAATGCTACTCAGTCAATGTTTTTACTCAATCTCGGAATACTACGATCATTTTAGGACAGTTCACGTCAGCTATGTCTTCTCGAGATGAAACATACTCACCGGTATCGATTGTACTGTGGAAGTTTGTAAATACCCCCACTATCATAGATGAATATATATTTGTTTATATATGTACGTAGGCAACCCCTGCATTGCTTAATATTTTTACATTTTTTTACAATTTACTTCTCTGTTTTATATGTTTATTCAAGAAAGTCTATACACTTGACTTGCTACAAACATGAAAATGTAACGTAGTTAATAAACTATTCTATTCTTTTATTCTATTCTATTCTACTACTTGCATCAGGTATGCTTCTGGATTTCCATAACTGTTGCATAATAATTTTTGCCGTAACTACAACATGACCCCCCACTCAACCTAAGAGATAAAAAATCTGCGATGTTGTTGAGAAAATTGTTCTCTTCATTACCATAGTTTCATATTTCTCAATCATGATTTTATAATATAAAACATCTTTTTTTCTGACTGAAATTTCACAAACTACACAGGAAACGATTGTATCTTCACAAAATTCATTTTCAAAAATATCACATGTTTTACTGTCACAGTAGTTTTTTTACTGCGATATCAAAACATGTCGTGATATTTTTGGAAATGATGTTTGTGGATATCAAATTGTTTCTGGTGTAATTTGTGGAAGTATAAAAGAACTTCAATGGAATTCTACAACAGATCCAACATTTTTGACGTGTTAGCCTCCGAGATGTAATATTCAACTATTTTCTGCTTCATCGAAAAGAACTTTCCTCGTGTTTAACATCCACTTACGATGGTCCGAGAACAAGACTCCTAAAAATATCACTGACTTGATATTTGATCATCCTAGCCTTTTCAACTGAATTTGCCCCTGACAATAAGTCAAATGAATGGCTCGATTGAACACTAGACTGGAAACGATTTGATCTTCACGTACTTTATTTCAAAGAATATCACATGTTTTGCTATCACAGTAGTTTTTTTGTAGTGAATAACATCCTATATAAAAGTTACTGTGATAACAAAACATGTCATATTTTTGGAAATTAAGTTGGTGAAGATCAAATTGATTACAGTGTAATTTGTAAAAATATAAAACATCTTCAATGGAATTCCACAACAGACCTAACCTTTTCGACTTCTCACCCTCCGACATGTAATATTCAATTCCTATGCTATTTTCTGCTTCATCAGAAAGAACTTTCCACGTGTTTGACATCCACTTACGAAGACCAAAAACAGAACTCCAACTGAATTTACTTCTGACAATAAGTCATATGAATTGTTCGACTAGCCTCTGGAAAACCTTTCCCGGCAATCTCAGGAGTAATGAAAATATCAATGGTTTGTGAATTCGTGCCCTTATATGTTATCTTATTCCATCCAAAAATGTTTTCACTTTTGTGATGACCTGTAATGTCGCTTGTCTCCTACCCTATGGAAATGTTACCCTCTCGCCTCCAACAGTTTCACACTGCGCTTTTCAGTTAAATTCTTTATAATTTGGACCCGATTTGTTGTTCTGCTGCTCACCTGTTGTACTGTCACCCGTAGAATTAAAAAATGGACATCACAACTCAATCCGGCTCGAAGTGCCAATTTTATGTTGAATGTTCAACTAACTTCTATATTTGAAATTTCTGCTAAACTACGTATATTGTTGAAAACGGTTCCCAGTCTCCTAGTTTGTTCACAATATAAAACGCCTGTTATGGTAATAGACCTGAGTTAACCAATCACCTGCTGATAACGTAAAAACTATTATCGAACACAAACTCAAATCATTGGAATCACTCACAGAAAAAAATTTGTACAATTATTTACATCGTACTTTCGGTTTCGATAGTACCCTAAGTCTCGACCTCAAATTTCCTATAAAATTACAATAAAAAATGAGAAAAGGTATAACTTCGTATCGCTTAGGTATATTCTCATGCAGCTCCATGTTCTCCAAAGAAACGTTTCATGATGAATATGAATGTGAAATAAAATATGAAATGTTCCACTTAAACAAAATTAAGAAGAAGTTGTTTGCCAATATCACAAAAATGTTATTGGTCAAACTGTTAAACGAAAAATTTCCAAAACACTTTAATAAAACATACTTTTCAAATTAGTTTTCATTTGAAATGGAAACTGTTGAATAGAACCCTTTTACGACATTTTTGAAATAACTTCTGAATCACACGGTATATACCGTATATATGGTATATACCGTGATAATCTTTTAAAAAACTTTTCTGACAGGAATCCGAATATGGAAAGCAATATATCTGACTCCATTAAAAAAACCTAACTTTGATACGTTACGTTGCTCTGGGAAATCTTGGTTTCTCAGTTTCCCATTTATTTGATCTCAAATGTTTTCTAAAATTCTTCAAGAATATCTTGCTCGAATATGTCTGTATACGAAAAATCTATTTCAAAAAATACAAAATAATGCCACTGATTTGAGCAAAGAATTGGGGTTACTTGACATTTGCTTTTTTATGTCACCAAACTGAAATTCATAATTGGGTGAATGAAAAAATCATGATCTAACGTGAATGTGATGTTATATTTCAACTCATGAGATACTTCATTCCACCTAATGATATCTGACAAATTTTCAAAAGAGTTCAAAACGGATTATTCTGAAAAATAGTTGGAATTCCCAAATGTTTCAGCCCATATCTCAAATAACAGTTACCGTGAAAATACAAAACTTAACATAAAACTGAAATAGAAACGGGTAAAAGTAATCTGTAGATGCCGGTATATGCAGATGATCAAACTGAATTATTTAAAAAGGTAATCTTGATCTGGTAGTGATCGTCCTTCGGAATCTCTACGAATATTTGATATACAATATAAAAAGAACACGGATCGTTTCAAACATCAGTAGTTCACTCGACTCAGCAGAAATGAGGGTCTTCTTGGTGAGTAGTTGGATGTACAGTGTACGAGAAGATATTATGATGTGTTGTGATTACTGAATATTTTTCGATGAGGTTGAAACATAGCAAATCAAAATATTATGTTCACTGAATGAGACCTCATACCATTGCATTTGATTTCAACAGCTCGATTCAGAATATTGTAAAATCAAAAATTTCAATGCTATATCCAAAAAAAAAAACAATTCTCTCCATATTTCGAATCGAATAAAAAAAATCAAGAACAATTTCGATATTCAGAAGCATCAATACTTCTAACTACGAGTGATGAAGTAATGATTCTTCAATTTATTTTTCAATTTTCTAGAATTTATTATTCTGTCTCAGTTTCCAAAATATCTTTGACATAAATCCAAGCATGAATCCATTACTGTGAAATTTGTTTAATTTTAAAGTAGGTACGTAAAATGGTTAAAATGATGAGAAAAATATTGAAAAGAGATCAAAACAGGAAATTTTCAATCACTACAGTTGATCTTGAACATTTAAACTCAATGACAAGGAACGAGAAATCTGTACTAGATAATCTATTAACAATGCAAAGAAGAAATTGAGACATTTCAGAAAACTGCTGCAATACAACATCATCAAAAATATCTTAGAATTTTGAACTAATGATATACTTCGTATATACAATACCTATCAATTACCTCTTACAGTGTGTTGCACTTCTTGCTCTATCAGCTGTTAATGCTGCTGAGAACAAAAAGGCTGAACTCAAATCAGCTGAAAAACCCAAACGCAGTCTTGGTCATGACTTCAGTGGTCTCCATAGCGTAGGAATTGAAAGAATAAGTGGACTGAGTGGAATCAGCGGACTTAGTGGGATTTCGACACATTCAGTCTACGGAAGTGGAGGTGGGTAGATCAGTAAACCAAGAAAGAGTTTTCCTAAGAAGAATGAATAATAATAAATATTTGAAGTTGACATAAAAGTCATATCTATGAATCAATACCACTTATCATCATTAAATTCTGAAAATTGACTCAAAATACAATCGTTATTTCGAACTTTAGTTTAATAGTCTTTTCGGAAAAGAGTAAACAACTTTTTCGTATACATTTCAATAGGTCTTGGTAGTGCAGCCGGTTTGGGACTTGGTAGCGCATCTGGATTGGAATTTGGCAGCGCATCCGGTTTAGGAGTTGGTAGCGCATATGGTTTGGGACTCGGTGGAGCTTCCAGTAACGGACTCGGTGCTGTATCCAGCTACGGGCTTGGTGGAGCATCGGGTTACAGTCTTGGAGGTGTATCCAGCTACGGAATTGGTGGAGCATCAAGCTACGGACTTGGTGGAGCATCAAGCTACGGACTTGGTGGCGCATCCGGGTACGGAATTGGAGGAGTATCCACCTACGGACTCAGTAGCGCTATATCATCTGCACTTGGATCACGCCACGTCGGACCAATTCCCCACACCCATGAATATCGCCAATCATCTCAACACGTCCCAATCAAAGTACCACAACCTTACCCTGTAACTGTTACCAAATCTGTACCTGTGCCACACCCCGTACCTGTAGAAGTACCAAGACCTTATCAAGTGCCTGTACATGTTAGGGTTCCAGTGGAAGTTCCCAGACCATATGAGGTGAAAGTTCCAAAACCTGTACCTGTACCAGTACAAGTCAGAGTTCCCGTAGAAGTACCAAGGCCATACCCTGTTGAGGTTTCCAAACCAGTACCAGTCGAAGTAGAAAAACGAGTATTTGTCAAAGTAAGCATTACTTTTGTTGTTGTCTGTGAGATATTCATATTCATAGATAGTCATAAGGCTTGAACTAACATTTTTATTTTTCAAATCACATCAATGTATTACTAATCATGAACTGGAACTGATTTCAATATTACATTTTCAGGTACCAGTCTCTGTACCAGTATCAGTACCACAACCCTACACAGTCCAAGTACCAACACCCGTACAAGTGAGAGTACCCACTCCAGTATATGTCAAAGAACGCAAATACGTTCACACTTACAAGAATGTTGACCATGGATTGATCAAAAACCACCCAATCAACGCAGGAGTAGTTGGAGGTGGATTAGCGAGTGGTGGATTAGCGAATGGTGGCTTGGTCAGTGGTGGATTGGTCAGTGGTGGATTGGTCAGTGGTGGATATTCCAGTGGTGGATATTCCAGCGGTGGTCTAGAGGGCAGTGGATTCTCCAGCGGTGGAATTGTCAGCAGTGGATTGTCCAGCGGCGGGTTATCCAGCGGTGGATTGATTAGTGATGGATTAGTCGGTGGTGGATTATCAGCCAGTGGATTGTCCAGCAGCGGATTGATCGGTGGTGCTTCGTCCTACAGTAGCGGATGGAATTCTGGATCCAGCGGAAATTGGAACTCCGGGGTCGTCCACTCATCCACTCCTGTTTCTATTGAACGATTCCACAGCAAATCTTTGTAAAAACCAATTCAGTCAATCACTAAACGATATACCCAATTTCTGATATTTATAACGTTAGATTGATAATGTTCATCACACTGTATAATTTCTGAATAAACAGAATATTGATATTCAAAATTCAAATACAACTCAATCACGGATTGTGTTAGATTATATTCGGAAGAATAGTCACATTTTGAAATAGCATGCACATTATCATGAAAACGAGCACATAATTGTGAATTGGGTATAATTCTCATGTACAATGGAAAATTGATGTATTCGATTCAATGAGTCAACAAAAATAAATTGATCAAAATCAATCAGAAATATTTTCGAACGAGGACAAAAAAATTGAAAAATTTTGTTGAGTACAATAAATTGTATTTATTTCAATGATGTCTTATCAATTACCAAAATTGTATTTCAGATTTTCGGATCATTCAGAGTTCCTAAGTGGAAAGAAAACACGATCATTTGAATGAATTATTGATATAAAAATATTATATTTTTTATAAGATGACGAATGACAATGAAAAGTGAATGTTTTTTTCAACATAATCACTTTCAAATTTTGAATCTAGATTTAACAAAAAATTGTTTTGTTGCACTGATAACTTCTTCAGTAGAAAAATAAACTGAATACCCTGATTGGAATGTGTTGTGTATTACATATATTTATATATTTGGTACACCCGTCATATCATTAGTCGAAATTATCATCAAGTTATCAAATATATGTCAATTAAAAAGATCATAAAGAGAAGTCGCATATTCATTATAAAGTGGTATTAATACATAAATCAAATCAAATACTACTCATTCACAGTTTTGGCGACGAGGTGAATTAGAAAGATTATAAGAATCAAAAATGATCGAACGAAAACAGTCAAAATGGATGCCCAACAGTTCAAAGAATTTATAGAATTTCAAACTGCAATGATATCTACTCTTTTTTAACTACAAATTTCACAGAGTCAGACAAACCGTGAATCATCAAGCAAGGGAGAAATTGTGATGAATACCACACTTTCAGTTAACTTCGAAAATTTTGACAACAAGAAAGAATCGTTTTCAAATTACAAAAGCAGGTTCCAGAATTACCTTCGAATGAATCAGATCAATACAAATAAGCCTTATTGTGCTCAATTGCTACTAAATTCCATTGGTGCTCAAAATTTCAACATGATTACAGCTTTGGCAGCTCCTAAAACTCCTTATCTGTTGACATATGATGAATTGATAAAGTTATTGGAAGAACATCTTGCACCAATGAAGAATGTTTAGTTGGTCAACATGACTTTTTGTCAATCTATCAAAATGAACAACAATCAATTCCAGAATTTGTAAGTACATTTAAGAGTAATATAGGTGACGTGAATTCACATGCGAGTGCAAGAAATCAGTTGCAGAAATCTTCCTGACAGCTCAATTCATTCGTGGCTTAAGTATACGATAATAGCATTCGTGAACAATTACTTCAGTCTGATAGCAAAACTTTCAAAGCTATTTTTACGAGAGCAATTGCGCTCGAATCTTCGAAAATTGATGCTAGCAAAATTGCCCAGAAAACAATTTCGACGTCATCTTCAACAGTTGACATCAACATAGTCAACTGTTCACGTTCATATATCCCTTCAAGAAATAGAAAATCGAGGTATAATAGGCCACTCAGTCGCAAATATAACCTTGAATCACTAGGATTGCAGAATATTTGTCTTAGGTGTGAGAAATCCAATCATATCGCAAAATATTGTCACACTGACCAAACCTCACTCAAATGTACCTTATGCAACAGGACTGATCACGTCCTGTTGCATAAGGTAATGCAGGTCTGCATTACTTCATTAGTTGCAAAAAAGACAAAATCTGAATCGACTAATCAAATTCAAAGCGATGATTCACATGAAATCGCACGACAATATGGTGTACAACATATTGTTGATATTCATCAAAATCATAATAGTTCTGACACTGATATGAATCGTTATTACGCCCACGTCAAGATAGAAGGAAAACCAATCAAATTCGAAGTAGATTCGGGATCAGCTTATACGTTTCTTCAACGTCAACAATTACAAGATTTGAATCTGAATATTCCTCTTGAACCAGCAACCATCGGATTCCGCTCATATACTCAAGATGTTTTCATACCCGATGGGAAGATTGTAGTTAACGTTTCTTATGGTAAAATCAAAATAAAAGAAGATGTTCATATTGTGCCAGATAATTACGCTGCTATTCTTGGTAGAGTTTGGATCCGACGCCTCAAGATAGATTTGAATCAACTAAGTCAACAAAACACTTCAGTACCCTTTGAAAGATT